GAAGTAACATGTTTGTGTTTAGGATAATGAATTGCAACATTTCTACTCTTAAAACTACTAGAAGCCCCTCTGCCTTGGAGGTACACGATCCCCCTCAAACAGAAAGCAGAGGCAAAGCATGCAGCACTGTTTGCAGAATGCATTAACTTGTCTCAGGTCACTGGTATCTCACCCTTGCAGTGAGGGGCTGAAGGCACCTGCAGGGGAAGGGCCCGCTAAAAGCAGTTAATCAGATTAAGAGCTGATCTGATTAAGCAGTTCAAAAGCAGGATTTAAGAGCAGGGGAAAACAAAGAGCCAGATCAGAGCTGAACTCAAACACAGCAACTTCACCCATAACCCCAGAGGACCCTTTAAGTTGCCTCCATACTCACCACAGGATCTTTTACTATATCTGCAAGGGTGATGATGTTGGGGCCGCCCCGCAAGTTCTCTAAGATCTTAATTTCACGCTTGATTTTCTTCTTTTTAACAGGCTGAAGAACAGAAAAACGATGTGTGAGACAGAGCACTGCAGTAAAGGGAGGCCAAGAGCTCAACATCCACATCACAAAGGTAGTGACTGCAAGTCAGCAAAATACACTGGAACCTTTGCAAGCGAAGTTCAAACAGATCTTGTTGTTACCTGACTGCTCAAATATCTGCAGTCTCCTTTCTAATCATACAACCCTGACAGCTACAAACATTGCTTTCATGTGAATGAGGGTCAGGAAGATGATTTCTATCTTTTGCCCAATCCCCAGCTCACCTTGAGAATTTTAACAACTACTTTTTCATTATTTGTGATGTTGATGGCTTCAAATACTTCACTGTATTTGCCTCGGCCTAATTTCCGAACTAGCTGGTAGTCATCTTGATTCCTGTGGAGATAAGAAGTTAAAGAGTTAGTTCTAGAGAGCTCTGTCATTTCCATCAGGAGTTACAAACTGCTCCTTAACACCAAATCACTGCCTCGTCTTCCAGACAAGGTGGATTAATGAGTGTCTTCATCTGAACACAATGATTCAGAGTGAGGAGAAGAACAGGGAGCTTCTACTTGCCCAAGTTAGATTCAATCCAGAACTGATTTCTTCTGTAGTAGGTAACATAAGCCTGACTAAGCAAACCAGCATCAGCAACCTCAACCTGTGCCTTCCACTGGTCTCTCTGCATTGGGAAGCTCCATTTTTCCTTGTATAATGTTATTAAAAATCAACAAAGCCAGAAAGACCAAAGCTTTCAGCACTGGCTTGTTTAAAACCAGAGTAGGCACAAACCATCACTCCTGCTCAGCACATTCTGTACACTTCAGAGCCCAAGAACCACCTCAAAGCCAAGGGCAAAACTTAGTCCAGGCTCTGCTATACAGAATGGGGAAGGCAGAGCTACAAAGCTGGTGTCATTGCTGTCTGATTCTTGGACAGTGTAGTCATAAGCCCAATTTAGGCACGTCCTTCCTTCAAAAAGCAGCAGATATCTCTTCCAGTCACTTGGAGAGCTGAGCAGTAAGTCACAAAATAGCAGGTACTTATTTAAGTCTGAGTGTCTTCACTCACCCCAAGCAGAGGAACCTCCAGGCTTTTTACTTCTTTTCAGCCCTGACGTCTAGATTGTCAAGATTTTCTCCCCTCTGAAAGGGGCCATCTCCTGACTCCCTGCAAAAACTCTTCAAGCTAAACTCTCAAGGAAGCTGCTAAAAACATTCCTGCAGCATTGGCGATTTCACATTTTGACAAGAAACACTTCCATGAAGCAAAGCTGTGATCCCAACACTTGCCATGCACACAGGCAGCTGCCAAGGAGCAGGATAAAGCCTGATGCAGCGCAGGTGCCTGAACTCCCCATCCACCACAATGCAGGACCCTGCAGGGATTGATCCTGGTCCAGCAGACTTACCCCCACTCGACAACATGCGACTCATAGTCCCAGTACTCCCGGGGTCTGTGTGTGTTCACATCCGTGTAGACTCTGGCCCTGCTCGGCACGGGTCCCGACATATCAGACAGGTTGGCAGGTGGGAATGACGGGATGGCAAATCAGAGGCTGCCCGCGCTGCACTGGAGGATAGCGGCCTCGGATCCTTCCACCTGCAGAGAGAAAACCAACCAGAGGGTAAAAACCTCAAGACACTATAAAAGTATTTAAGTTAATGATTAAAAGCTGCCGAGGAGAAGCTGGAGCCCAGCCACAGCCTGGGGTCATCGGCCAGAACCTGAAAACTATGGGTCTGCTCTTCCCTAAGCAGGACGGGATCACTTGGCAAAAGTAACCCCTCGACCTTGCAACCTCAGCATGTATTTTCCAAATAAGGGTTACAAAGAGAGCTTTTCCCAAAGGGAAGAACTGCAGCGTCCTGTGTAGCTGCAGACAAGACACCCTCCATCCAGCTCCAGGGAGAAAGCAACAGCCACGGGCTCAGCCTCTCCCCATCCAAGAGGAATGTGCCTGACACGGAGCCAGAGCACCTCATGTGCTGGGGGCTGCACCATCACCTCTTGCAAGGCACTAATGAACAATACTGCAAAGGGGTCACAGATCAACGGGTCACCTGCACCACCTAAATGAAGCACTTGCTGAAGTTTCACCTCCTAGAAGCACTAATTTTCCTTTAAATCAGAACTTTGGGATTTACTTGAAAGAACTGAAGCCTTTGTGTTCACACACAAAGGTTTGTGTGTCTACAGTGATTCCTTCTGTGGAACGGACAACCAGTAGCAAGAAAGGCCACTGGGGACATCAAGGCCACTTACTACCAACCATTCAGGGATCCAGTGGCCTGAGGATGCTCAGAGCACTCCACAGCAAACAGAAGCAGGCAGAAGAGTTTGGCTAGGATGGGGCACCAGCTTCAGTCACAACATTAAGAGACAGCAGCATGTGTGTTAAGACATGATGATTTACCCAAACACAGAAGAAAAATTCTGCTGCAGGAGTCTAAAGCTGTTTCTTTGCATTGTGCTTGTGCACAGGGTTTGGTAAGGACCTCTCCTCCTCCCTCCTTGCCATGGGATGCCTGCAAAGCTTCTGTGAAGTTTTATCAGTAGTGAGACAAGTCAAAACGACTCAAAAGAAAGTTACTGTATGGCACAAATACTCCAAGTTCTGAATATTTCAGACATCAGGAACTTAGTACGGTTTTATACCAACAAATACTGTCCCACCTAAAACAAAAGTGGAGACTCCGCAACTCTCAGATCTTTCCCAAGTGAAAGCCAACATATTTTTAAACATTTAAGTACAAGAATCCCTTTGTCAGCTTTCAAAATAACGCCCGAGGAAGGAAGCAGCAGCGGAGCATGAAAGAGCATTGTTCAGGGTGCAGCACGTGGCAGAGCCTGCACAGCCCTGCTTAGAGAGAGGCACTTGAGCAGCGGGGCAATAACCTAAACACACAGAATGTATGGTATTTGCTGTGCCAATGTCATCCCTCACAGAAACAACTGCCAGGCTGCAGGAGGAGGTTAATAGCCACATTCATCAGAAGGATCCACAATCTGCTCTCAGGGTACAGGATACATCACACCAGAAGGAAATTCTAGAAGCAAAATCCTGCTCTACTGGCACCATTTATTTGAGGTCTGCAGCACTGCAGTGTGCTGCAAGGACCACAGCAGGAAGCAGAAGATGGTGTACGAGCTGGGGGATGCAGCTGTGGTGTCCTCCACCACGTCCCACAACCTGAGCAGCAGCCGGCTCTGCACTGGGAAGCACATACATGAGGTCTCTTGGTATGGACCAAACGTCCTTAGGTGACACAGACCTCGGGTTAGTTTTTGACCTACTGACACAGAAACGGTGCTGAGGGCAGCTCCAGGTAGAAGGGGCTGAGGTAACACAGCCCCAGGGGTCAGAAGGGATGGGACACTGTTCCAAAGTCCTCAGATCGAGGCCTCTGCCTGAGCAAGGAAGGATGGGGCACTGCAGCCTGGTTCAGCTAAAGGAAGAATACAAAATATGACTAAATAGTCTATTCCTGGACAAGATGTTAGTCCTGTAATAAATTACACTTTCAGAAGATGAGGCAACAATCATCTGAGACCTCAAACCATTTATGTGGCATGACTCAGACCTGTACAAATTAGATGTATATTCCCAAAACATACTGGGGCATTAAGAGCATCCAAGTTCACTGCACCACTGTGAGGACAGTGAAATGTAGTGGATTTCAGAGTTTTTGTTTCCCCTCATTCCATGTGCTTCTGGCAGGGATGCACTGACTAATTTCCTCTGCCCAACACTCCTGTGTAGGAATTAACCAAATGCCTCAGATGACTTTTGATTTTAGCTTTTAAGCACAAGTGGGAATCGGTGCGAACACGTGAGGCTGCTCCTCACCCAGCCCCGCCTGGGTTCAGCATGGAAAAAACCAATGAAGAAGAAGAAAAATCCATCACATTACCTAAAGACAGATCAAATTGCAGAGTGGTTCTTACTGTCACGTAGCCCCAGCCCAGCACTGGCTGCACCTTGGAAGTGGCTGCTCAGAGAAGGGCTTTTTCAGGAAACCATCAACTGGAGCTTCTAAGAACAGCACACAAAGCCTGTTCAGGGAGGTGGGGATTATTGTCTGCTGTTCTCTCTACAGGAAGGGGAGAGTCTGCACACATCATCTGGGTTTCAAGCAAACACAGTACATGCATCTACACTTACCCTGCCCCAGACCTGCTCCAGCCGTTCAGGAATTTGCATGTATTTTGCTCTCCCTGTCCCCAGAGGGGGATAAATTTGCAGAGGCTCCAGAAGCTCTTTGGCAGAAGGGACTGACACAAATAGGGACAAATAATGGGGACAGGTGTGGTCATGGAAAAGTCAGTTTAGCTCCAGTTTGAAGGCAGAGAATGTACAGTGTAAGCAGCAACTGCACCTACATGAGTGTCCTGAGCTTCTTATAAAAGATGAGTTCTGCAGAATCCAAACAGAACAAGTCATTTATTCATTCCTGCATTAATGACAGGATCACAGAATCATTTCTATTGGGAGAGACTTCTAAAAGTAACCCAGCTAAAGGAGATGGAATTAGATCAGGTTGCCATGTGCAGCTCAGCCTTGAGCATCTCCAAAGAGCCAAAACGCATCTCTGAGAGTTTTAATTCTCTGGTAGAGAAATGCTGAACAGGGAAACAACCACAAGCTTTGAGGCAATAACCAGAGGTCACAGAGAGGAAGACAAAGCTTCTAGTTACCACCTGATAGAAGCTGCTCAGTGCTAAGGTTTGCCTGTGCATGGCCAGAAACCAGGTCTTGTGGTGTAGCACTTGTGGTGACCGCCTTGGGAAGACCATCCCCAGCAGCACTTGTATTGTAGCCGCAGTGCAGGAGCACCAAGGAAAAGTTTCAGAGCCAGGTTTTCCCACAGACCTGCCCTTACAACCACATTCGAGTATTAGCCAACTGATAAGTAGCTCATCTCTTGCACAGCACCTTATCAAGAGCACCCCAGCAGACCCTGTCCATCCAATGCACAACCAGCTCAAAAGGGTGCAGGCGAATGCACCCTGCGTGTGCTGCTGATAGTGAGCGGGCAGGAGACAAACCCAACTGTGCCACCACCACACAGGAATGTTTTATTTGAAGGGCTACTAATTAAGAGGGATCAGTTCTTAAAAGTTTGAGTTACTGTAAGAGTAGCCTGAGCAGCTTTGCACGCTGCACGTTTTGTGCCTGAAGTTCAGGAAACCAGGAAAAAGCCTCAGTGTTCAGCGAGTTGGATTTTTAAACCACTTTCATCTAAAACACTGTTATAACCCCCCCTCCTCTTTAAAAAGGGGTTTTGTCATCCTCAAAATGCACTCTAATCCCAATGGCAACCCCACAGAGGACTTGATTTCTTGTGCAGTATCCATACTTACAGCACCTATTCCCAACTCCTACAGGAATTTATGCCCTCCATCCTTCCAGATGCATCCACTCTGAGCAAGTAGCAACAACACACAGCTAAGGAATCCGTGCACATTAGTTGGAGAAGCACCTGCTCAGCCTCTAGTAAAATTCACCTCTTTTTAGTCAAGAATAACTGAGATACTGGAATACTATTTTTCCTCCTTTTAAATGGAAATGCTTTTGGCACAGAGCACACAGTTACTCACTCAGAACCTTACACCTAAGAAGTGGCACCAGTATGACACAGCACACACAGACTCCAAGTGAGCTGGAAGCCAAGAGCTTCCCAGAACACTGGTGTCCCGAGGAACCTGTCCAAGCAATGACCTTCGTGGATCAGATTTGGAGTGTAAATATTGCACCCAGGAACACAAGCGCCGCTTGACACGGCCTCCCTCTGGAATGCTGCTGACAGCACAGCCTGCCCCCGGTGTGAGCAGTGCCCTGCCAGGGAGTTCCAAGTTCATCCTGAGACTGAACCCAGGGAGCCACGTTCAGCCACATCAGCGTGGTTATTACCAGTGAACTCGGAGTCAAGCAGCAGAGAGCAGGCCCAAAGGAGTGACACAGGCCCCAAATTCCACCAAGACAAACTCAAAGAGCCACAGTAACATTTCCATCACTTTACCAATTCCTGACAGACTGTCCCACACAACCTCATCTTCCTCCCAGGGACACACAGAGCTCGGCCAGGCAGGGCTGGAGATTCCCTCTCACTTCTACTTTCCCCATGTAAGCTCATTACCAGCGGTGACTGTGAGAGACTAAGGCTGTAAACAGGCCAGGCCAGGCAGCAGCTGGGTCACTGTGGGACTAGAGAAGCTCTCTGCCAGCAGAGAGGAGCAGAGTCACAGTAAACAGTCTGGAACCAGAAGGTTATTCCTTTCTTTTACCCACAACTACAACTGAGACGTTCCCTTTCACAGTAACAGCTTAAACCCAGGCTCTGAAATCATGAGTGCACAATGTGCTCTGGTAGTGAGAGGAAGCATTACAATTAGCACCTGAAATTGATTCTCATTTCCTTCACACAGCCCATTGATCCCAGGGCAGGAGCACTCGCTGCTGCAGAGTGTGGGGAATATTTAGTACTGGACAGATACCACTGAAATGAAAAGATCAAGACATGCTTCAAGACCAGGCTCCAGCCTGCTGCTGGCAGCCAACGCCAATTGAAGCCCTGCTCACCTTTAAAGGAAGAGCTAACGGC